TTTCTCATGTCACGTAATCTCAATGAGTTGTCTCTGAATATGACTAACACTGGATACAACTTCTCATAATATATAATAATATATTCTCATAATAATATAAAGAGGATGGAGTGATGGTGTGTGTTTTGGGAGAGCCTTATTTCCCCATATACGTGAAGCCTGAAAAAGGTAAGCTGTATTTTTCCAGTCTTCTACCACTACTAGATATGAGAATTTCCCTGAAACTGTTTTTTTTGGGGGGGAGAATGGTTTGTAAATCTTGGCATGGAAACTGTTGAGTTCTCTGTGTGTCTTTTTACTTTTTCCATTAGATCCACTCATTTCTCCAAGGCATTTCATTTAACAACTCAGCTGGAGAAACGGTGTCCTTGAATAATCGTGGGGAGATGGGAGGTGGATTTGACATTGTGAACATGATCACATTTCCAAACATCTCCTTCCTTAGAGTGAAAATTGGAATGGTTTATCCCAAGGCTCCTGAAGGAAAAGAAATTACTCTCAATGCAGATATAATTGTGTGGCATGAAAGTTTCAATCAGGTCTGAATTCTGTAATATTTGTTAGTGCTGCTACCTTTTCTGAATGGGTGATCTGGACTGGAAATGGCATTGGCTGCATTCTGTCAGCGTTAGTCTGTTGAAGAGATGGGGGAATCTTTGATTCTCTAGTAGTTGCTATCCTTCAACTCCCAGCTTCCCTGACAGAGATGTAGACTATGGCTGATTAAAGCTGTAATTCAGCAAAATCTGGAAGGCTACAGGTTCCTCTTACTTGGTCTACTGTAATGAACTCAGTATCACACGTAAACATCACACATGTAACATTCAAGTGTGAGGTTTATATATTCCTCATAACAACTGAAAACAATTTAAAGTTCTCGGTGCAAGTGAAAAAAGGCAGATTCTTACCAGGATAGCAAAATCAACTTTGTTCTGTAGTAGGACTGTAGGGCACTCTTTGATCACCCCTGTTTGGGAGTTTGCAAGCTTCCCATAGGCATCTGGTTGGCTACCATAAGGACAGGATACTGGACTAGATGGGCTTTTAGATTGATTCAGCAAGGCTCTTCTTACTGGATGAAGAGCTTAACTGAGTGGTCCTTTCCCCTGCTCTGGTACCCACAGTTTTCCTCCATTAAAAAGAATGTCTACCATTATCAGAAAATATTTTATTTGAACATGTTCTGCATACTGCCACTTCTCTAAAACTGTTTTATTTATTTATTACATTTCATAAAAGTCATACACCGCTTGATTATAAAAAAGTGGTTTGCAAAAGATAAAACATTAAAATCAAGGTGGGGGGAATGCAACCCTACTTTAAAACATACAAAGGTTAAAATACTAAAACAGATTAAAGTTCAATCCTGGTACAGTTACACCAATATGAGCAATTGTTTCTTTGTAGATCAGCTGTTGAACAGCACCAACAACAGATCTAATTTCACTTTTCCTTTAAAAAATTCGTGTTTATGGTTAGGTTTGTCCCCTTTCCGTGTGTAATGAGTACTGCAATGCTGGGTATCAGAAGAAAAAGAAGGAAGGCGAGAAGTTTTGCTGCTATGACTGTGTTCCATGCCCAGAAGGCAAGATTTCCAACCGAAAGGGTAGGTGGCACAATGCAGTAGTTTATTAATGCATTCATCTACAAGTCAGCAAGTGATAGCAAAGGTGGGAGACATTTTCAGGCTAAGGATCATATTAGAGAGCTGTTGAATACTATATTCAGTAGTATGTGGAACTAGACTGAAATGCTGCTAGTGGTCAGACACACAACCCTATTTTCCAGAGGCATATATTCAGTAGCGGCTGGTGAGATGGAGTTAATCTGACACACTACACTGGACCAAACTCCTCAGGTTTTGCCCCTCACCTCCTCATCTCAGTTACAGGCAGTGATCTGTTGTTTTGGTGCGCTAGGAGAGCAATAGTGCCCCACCTACACTGCCCCACTGATCTCTAGTACATTTATGTAACAGTGCCAGAAGAAGGCCACACGATCTGGTAAGTTGTCTGTGGACAAACGCCAGCTCCCTCAGCCTGAAAGTGAGACGAGTGCTGCAACCCCATAGTTGCTTTTGACTGCACTTAGCCATTCAGGGTCCTTTACCATTTTTACCTATATTTATGTAACTGATAATAATTCAATTCAAGCTCTTCTTTCCAGTTATTTCCAATTACTTTTTAATCAACAAATGTCCCCCCCCCTGTTTATCTTAACTGAAATATGACACCACTCTCTTTATTTCTCTCTTTCATATATTGACCTAGACATGAATGACTGCTTCAAGTGCCCAGAGGATCAATACCCTAGCAAGGACAGAGATGGGTGTATTGCCAAAATGATAACTTTCTTGTCTTATGAAGAACTTTTAGGGATTGGCTTAGTCTTGGTTGCAGTTTTCTTTTCTGTAAGCACAGCACTGGTGCTAGTAATCTTTGTTAAACACAAAGATACTCCCATTGTCAAAGCAAACAACCGGGACCTCACATTTATTCTACTCATTTCTCTCCTCCTCTGTTTTCTCTGTTCATTGCAATTTCTTGGACAACCAAGGAAGGTGACTTGCGCTCTCCGTCAATCTGCATTTGGTATCATTTTCTCTATGGCTGTGTCTTGTGTGTTGGCAAAAACCATCACTGTGGTTTTAGCTTTTCAGGCTACCAAGCCAGGTTCCAGCATAAGGAAGTGGGTAGGGAAAAGACTGTCCAACTCCATTGTCCTTTCCTGCTCCTTTATTGAAGCTAGTATTTGTATGGTGTGGTTAGGAACCTCTCCTCCTTTTCCACATTTCGATATGCATTCAATAACTGGAGAAATTGTAGCAGAATGCAATGAAGGCTCTGTCACCATGTTTTATCTTGTCCTGAGCTACATACCTGAGCTAAATACCTCAAAGACAGTAGTGATAACTACACAACAATAAATTTTACAAGAAAACAAAACCCGCACATGATCTGTTTGGAAACAAGATTACATTACATTCCAGATTTTAATAAATTTCATCCCTATTATCACTAGCAAGTGAAAAAGTTATGTTCTTTCCAGAGATGAACTGATTGATTTACTTATATTTCTGGTTTTGTTTTGTTTTACCTTTTTATTTTTTGACTGGTTTTTGGGACTGGAGAAGAACAATCATGCAATGAAGATGAATATTGGAAGCTTCAAGACAGACAAAAGAAAATACATTTTCACACACCTCATATTAAAATATATTTAAGTTTATGCCATTAAATCAACTTAAACTCAAGAACTTTGGGTTCAGTTGGCTGTTCTTGATTTCTTCATTCATTGCTAAATCAACATGGAGAGCAATTGTGAGGGTTGGTGTAGCTGAAACAGCTCCGAGAACTGCTATGAGAAAAGGAGGGTTTTTGTCAGCCTTCAGATTCTCTTTCTTTCAGTGTTTAATCTCTTGTACAGTGGTACATAGCAGTGCCCTTGGGTTTCAGATCCTTCATTTGCAGACACAGCATGTTAGAAGGGTTGTCCCTTGATATAATGAAGTGTCCCTTCACAGAGGCAGCACAGATTTGTGTACTTCCTGCACTTTTGCTTATCCTTCCAAGCCATTCCAGTTCCTTCCCAGCAGATTTTTGCATCCAGTGCATGTAGTAGTCACTAAAGGTGAACCCAGAAGCTTGACAGGAGATCTGGAAGGAATCTCCAGGCCTTTTGACATCCCCTCCAGATTCCTCCAATTTGACTGATGATTGGACACCTGACAAAAAAAGAGAGATAACATAAGGAAACATTTTCAATGGAACGGCTTGCCAATTATAACTACTGAAGGAGAAAAATCACCTCCCATAGCTTCTGCAAACAAAATAAATAAAAGCCATAAAATCATATTTTCCATTCTGTTCCTTGGAGAATGATTGGTTAGGAAATGATTGCAAGCACACTGTTGGAGCTGTATACAAGTGCACAACAGGAAAGGGAGCATGCACAAGTATTTTAAACAGGAAGCTGCCATTACATTTGCAAATGTCTCTGGATAAAAAGAGAAGTGTTGCCCAACAACATTCACCTCCTTGTTAATACACAAGAATTCAATTCCCTTAAAGTGCTTTTAATGAATGAATAAATCATTCATCACTCTTAAAAATAGCTTGGTTCCAACTTATGATTTCATTATTAGATTTGTATATCAACCTTTATTCGAAAATCTGAAAAGCAGTTCACAAACAGTGGTGGAGCTTCATGCTCCGGCACCGGAGGGCGAAGAGCAGGTGGGGGCAGGGCTGGCTTGTGTCCTGGGAGTGGCTCGAGTCCTGGGGGCATGGTGCGCTGCCTGCAGGGGTGGGGCACCCAGTGCAGGTGGGGGCAGCCACGATGGCACCCTGCCGGGATCACACTGCCAGGGGCAATGCACTCCCCGCAGACTCCTCTTCCTCCGCCAGTGTTCACAAGATAAAAATACAGGAGAAATGCATAAAATAAATAGTAAAAACAAATCAAATCAATAACCATAGGGGATCAAATTGAACCCCAAGAAACATCCACATTGAAGGTTTCATGGAGCTGAAGTGCACTCCCCAAGGTATGACGTGATACTCATTGAAACCCCATAAGAAGATTGAGGTTTTCCTCTGTTTCTTCACAAACCTCCAGTTAATAGGTGGGTGGGATAGAACACAGACATTAGAAGGACTTCATGCAGTTAAAGGATGGACTGGCCCATGAGGCTAAGGACAGATTAAGATTGGACCAGCTGGGTGGGTGAGGGTGGGTGAGACCTACCTTGTCCCTGCTGTACACAACAGGGGTGCTCAAACAGTATTTATTCTGATTAATTTGATGCATTCATCCACTTAAGCCACAAGCCACAGGACAGCTTACTGCAAAGGAAATAGGTAACTGTTAAAACTATAAAAAACACAATTCTTTAAAAACATAAAGAAACAAATGAGGAAGTCTTCTTTTTCTTTTTGCAATGAAACATGATTACTGGCAAAAGTACCACTCATTCAGCGCCCTAAACTCTGAAGAAGTCATTATTGTCTCCGGCATTTATTCAGATCACTATCATTGTCATCAGGGGAAATCTCCAGAGGTTTCATGCTAGGCTGCAGAAAAGAAAAGAAAAAAATAACCAAGCCTGGAAAGGCATAAAAAAACTACCACTGATGTGGTGCCACCTGGGACTGGGGCAAGACACAGGTTGAGCTCTGACAGTTTCATGTCTTATAGTTTCCCTTTACTCATGTTATCAGACAGACACTAAAGAAGCATGCTAGAAAAGTCAGCTAATATTCAAGGCAGACATTTCTTTGTAACTGTTGATGCTAAAGGAAGGATGAAATGTTTCACTTAGTGTGCAGGCTATGAAACCCATGTTTCCTATAAACGAAGCTAAACTATCTTCCCATGTTGCCTCTAAACTAAGCTAAGCTGATGCTTTCAATGAACGCAGTGAATTTGTTTTATTGCCAGGATGCTGTGCCTAATTATGGTGTTTTTCCTGTCTCCCAATGCGTTTGAAGTAGATACCAGTAATTGCCCCACAGATGATCCCATAACTGTTCCACATGAAGTGGTATCAACCAGGTGACTTCCTCATTGGTGGTATGGCTTCACACATAATTTATTATTTTGCTGAACCCTCCTTCACGGAACCCCCGTCTCAAGAATTATTTGAGATTCCAAAGTTAGATTTCCTCTCTTCTCTCTAAAACTAGTGTGGTTCATATCAAAGACCCTAGGAACAGTTTATAGAAGTAACACGATGCTCCAGGAAAGGGTATGCAGATTGACTCAGGCAAAGAGATTATGGGAATTGAAATCCTGCAAAATCTGGATGTTCAGCAGTTTCCTTTACATATTTGCATCACATATTTTATTTTCCTTCTGTACCTGTGTGGGATTCACAATGTAGGGAGATGAAACATGCCACACAAGATCTTTATAGAATGTAGGTGAAGATAGTAATGTTTCTGTGCTAGGGGTCGGTAAAAAAAAATCAATGCAGCACAAATTTAAAGCCAAATCTATCAAACTCACACTTAAAGTAATATGTGGTCCAAAATACAGTTCTGTTTTGAAATTCAAATTTATCTGAAATTTGCCATGCATTTTTGGAAACATTGTTTTTGAAAATGGATATATGCTTCTTTTTGTAATCTGCCTTGAAAGTGTTGTGTTGTTGTTTTTTTCTTCCTTTACAATCAAGCTGGGTATAAATTTAATGAAATAAATAGAAACATAAACAATTGTAAAGATATGTGTGAAAAAATGTACATGGATCATATGAAACAAAACAATGCATTGTTAATTATCTCTCCCTAAAAGCACTGTGATTTCAATGCCCTGCTAAAATCATTCTCTTTGATGAGAAGCTAGAACTTTCCACTGTAGAACTCTTCCTTCCACCCTCTCACCACCCTGGTAATTTCCAGTATGATAAGCCAGAGGAGCAATGCTTCCATGTTTACAGATACAATGTCTGCACAGTTTTATTTAATATCCAGATCTCTGACTCCTTCCAAATTGTGCTGGAGGTCCATGATTTCATTCAGAGAAATATAGAAGCAGTTTTCTTTGGCTTGGACAAGCTGCTTGATGAAGCAGACTGATTTGACTCCATTTTTACCCCAAAATATGTCATCCTAGTATGTACAGTCTGAGTACAGAAAGAAACAGAAACAAATGGTTTTATGCGTTGTAAATTATATTTGGAATGAAGACTGCACTGCCTATTTGCTCCTGACATCAATTGCATCATTCATAAAGATTCATAGGAATCTAAGTTACTTGAGACAGAAATAGTCAGAAGTGTTATAACCAGTTTAAGAAATTATCAGTCACAGAACTCTTCTTCTCCCCACTCCCCTCATCATCCTGGAAATTTATTTGATAAACCAGAGGAGCAGTGCTTTAATATTTATAGACACGCTGTCTGCCCAGTTTTATTTTAATGTGCAGATCCTTCTGAATTTCTCTGGAGATTCAGGATTTCATGTGGAGATGGGCTTCTCCTAGATGGGCTACCTTCCCAGGTTGGAAGGTAGAAGAAGAAAAGAATTCATTGAATGCAGGCAACACACATTTTTTTATAACAATAAATGTAATTTTGAATGCCTTCTGGATGAAAAAGTTGCTCATTGAAGGAAGAACTTGCAGCAGAAACAGAAAAAAGGAATGCTTCTCCTTTTTGTACAGATGAAAGACTTGTTCTGTGTCACTGTGTTCCCTTGCACAGTAATACATGGCTGTGTCTGCAGCTGTCAGGGAATTCAGCTGGAGATGATATGCATTCTTGGATGAGTCAAGAGAGATGGAAATCCTGCTCTGGAAGGCTGAACCATATTCTGTGTTCCATCTTGAACTGCTGTAATGTCCCCTTCCTATCCATTCCAATCCTTTCCCTGGAGGCTGGCGGACCCAGTGCCAATAATAGCCAGCAGTGATGGTGTAACCAGAGACAGCACAGGTCAACTGGAGGGATTCTCCAGGTTTCCGAACTCCCTCACCAGATTGAGTCAGTCGAATTTCAGAGGGGGATCCTGGCAGAAATAAATGGGGAAAAGGCAAGATTATAAAACAAAGAAATATCAATTATTATTATTATTGTTATTATTTTGTACTTTGCCCATCTGACTGGGTTGCCCCAGCCACACTGGGTGGCTTCCAGCATATACAAAAACATACTAAAACATAATAAAACTGTTGCATTTTTAACTTTTAAATAATGCTTAATGCTCTTTCTGAACAAAGTGAAATATTTTTAATGATGCGATCCAATAATTTTGAAAATGGGACTGCACTTGTTCATGCTTCTCACTATTATAGAAAAGAAGGAAAACATCTCAGGTAACCTAGTTCAGCACTTGAAAATATAAAAGGAAAGAATGCTCATAAACGTTAAAAGAGTCTGCAGGATGGCATTTTCCCTCTACAATCAAGTACAAATAATACAACTGACCAGGTTTAAGGATAGAAAAGACAAAGAGAAATGTGGCTAAGGGCACCATCGTCTGCATGATGCTCTCTAAAATTCAAGCAGGAGACTTGGTATTTAAATAAATCTGTAATAGATTGATAAATTTGCATATTCAAGAACATTTTTGCATTGGGTTATAAAAAGGACTGTGACCAATTCTAGTAGGATCCTAATCACATCTCTGCCCTTACTTTCCCCACAGGTGCCTGTTGTGCTTAAATGATGAAATACACATTCAGTGCAAAATGGAACACAAAGACTTCGATTTTGATTTCTAAAGCTCACACTGAGACTGCTCAGCAGATATTGTGGGAAGCTTAATTATTAAATTAATTAAGTTGGGACATTCTGACCTTTTGAACCAAGGCATAAAACTGTGGGGTGGTGGTGGTTGCACATACCAATATCATCAGCATTCAGGTCAATTTTGTAAGTGGAGGTCTTGGGTAGTTTCACTTGACCTGTGTTTATTTATTTAAATTTCGATGTCTGTTAAATGAACTGTTAATTCTTGGATTTCTTAATGTTATCATGCATTAATCATGAGTAGTATTAAACTAAGCTTTAATTAGAGCAGACCGATTTAAATTAATTAACATAAGTTAGGTCCACTTATTTCAGTGGGGCTACTGTGAGTAAAACTCAGCTGAATATTTATTATGCAACATTATTTCAAGACATATATCGATTAACCTATAAACCTGTATTTCTCTCTCTCTCATATATCCATATCTGAGCACAGCTGTATTTGTGGAAGATGTGGTATATAAACAAATCGTGACTATGTAAAGAAAACAGATGAGAATGACCGCTCCCCGCTTAAAACGGGGGGCGCCCTTTGTGTGGACGCGCACAGCCCCTAGATCTGGAGCGGCTCCATCAGCATAGGCTTGGCTTTGCCTTCCCTCAGGTGGGATACCTGGAGGTCTCCGCCTACCTCAGTCAGTTGTCCAATCCCACCTGGGGGAAGCATTGCCAAGGAGACCAGGCCAGGTAGGGGATGGATTACCTGCCCACACAATAGAGGGATGATCTTACCTCGGAATCCTCACTTAGCTCCAGAGCTTCTCCCACCCTACCCACCCTCAGTTAATGTGTTATTTTGCAGGTTAACTTTTCTTCACAGGTATGCGGGCGCTGCTACGTTAAGGTCGCTGTTAAAGGGCCGGAAAGGAATTTCCCTGCATTGGCAGGTTTCGCCTTTCTCGTAGCAAAAGTCACAGCTTTGGCGGTATCAGGCCTTGGGCGGAATCCTTTAGTCCATCTTCCTCTTTGCGGCGGTGATACCAGGGTTCCCCATTAAAGGGGTTTCTGAAGGGAGGCTTTGACTGTACGGCGAAAGGTCGTCATTGCTCTCCCCTGCGGCAGCAGCGTAACGGGGGCGGCTATCTCTGCTTGAACATATGTTCTCCAGAGCCGGCCCATCCCCCCCCCCACACTAGATAACCCTGATGCTCCCTAGGTCCCCGGCTGGGGACTGGGGAGGGAGAACGCCCAATGCCTGAGCCAAGGTCTACCCACATTTGAAATTTAATAAAGTTGTGGCCAATTTAATCCGATAGCACGTTGTCTTGAGTCGTTATTCCACATGACGGGGGGGGGACCGCTCGGGATCTGGGGACTCCGCCTGTCCACGCAAAGCTTCCTCACAGCTGAAACCACAAGACAGTACAGTTGAATAAATATTTTATTTCTTGTGCTTTTCAGTATATCTCTCCTGCCCCCTTGAGTAAAGCTGGTGGCACAGGGAGAAGCTTCTTGTACTGTACATGAAGTGATTGCTAGGGAAATTTTGAGCTCTGGATGATCACCAGCGTTCTTGGCTTGCTAGGATAGAGAAATCCACCAGTCCCTTTTGTCCCTACCCCAAAAGAACCCTGCCCCAGTCACTCCAGAGTATTCATACCTACTCTTTTTTTTTTTAAAGAAAAAGTGCAGATCCAATCTTTTGATTTTCTAGTCCAGATAAAATCATAAAATCAAAGAAACATAGAATTGTAGAGTTGGGAGGAACCCCAAGGCTCATCTTACTCCATTCCCCTACAATGCAGGAAACTCAGCTAAAACATCCATGACAAATGGTCATCCAACCTCTGCTTAAAAACCTCCAAGGAAGGAGAGTCCACAATCTCCCAACAGAGACTGTTCCACTGTTGAACAGCTCTTACTGTCAGAAAGATCTTGCAGATGTTTAGTCAGAATCTCCTTTCTTGTAACTCGAAGCCAATGGTTTGAATCCTACCCTCCTGAGCAGGAGGGGCGGAAGCATGACCCCTCTTCCATGTGACTGTTAGAATTCCTGCTCCATGATTGCAGTCACGGGTTTTTTTCCCTTTCACATGAAGGTGTATGTTTTGTCACCACAAAGTGGGAAGTGACGGAGACAGGATGTTTGTGTTACTGTGTTCCGTGAAGTGGGAATATTGTCCTTTGTTCTTTTTCTCTTTGCTGTCTGATTCTCCTCCTGTACTCCTCTTCCTCTGCCAGTGTTCACAAGATAAAAATATAAGAGAAATGCATAAGATAAATAGTAAAAACAAAACAAATCAATAATCATAGGGGATAAAATTGAACCCCAAGAAACATCCACATTGAAGGTTCCATGGAGCTGAAGTGCACTCCCCAAGGTATGAAGTGATATTCATTGAAACCCCATAAGAAGATTGAGGTTTTCCCCTGTTTCATCAGAAACCTCCAGTTAATAGGTGGGTGGGATAGAACACAGACATTAGAAGGACTTCATGCAATTAAAGGATGGTCTGGCCCATGAGGCTAAGGACAGATTAAGATCGGACCAGCTGAGTGGGTGAGGGTGGGTGAGACCTACCTTGTCCCTGCTGTACACAACAGGAGTGCTCAAACAGTATTTATTCTGATTAATTTGATGCATTCATCCACTTAAGCCACGAGCCACAGGACAGCTTACTGCAAAGGAAATAGGTAACTGTTAAAACTATAAAAAACACAATTCTTTAAAAACATAAAGAAACAAATGAGGAAGTCTTCTTTTTCTTTTTGCAATGAAACATGATTACTGGCAAAAGTACCACTCATTCAGTGCCCCAAACTCTGAAGAAGTCATTATTGTCTCCGGCATTTATTCAGATCACTATCATTGTCATCAGGGGAAATCTCCAGAGGTTTCATGCTAGGCTGCAGAAAAGAAAAGAGAAAAATAACCAAGCCTGGAAAGGCATAAAAAAACTACCACTGATGTGGTGCCACCTGGGACTGGGGCAAGACGCAGGTTGAGCTCTGACAGTTTCATGTCTTACAGTTTCCCTTTACTCATGTTATCAGACAGACACTAACGAAGCATGCTAGAAAAGTCAGCTAATATTCAAGGCAGACATTTCTTTGTAACTGTTGATGCTAAAGGAAGGATAAAATGTTTCACTTTACATAGTGTGCAGGCTATGAAACCCATGTTTCTAAACTAAGCTAAACTATCTTCCCATGTTGACTTTAAACTAAGCTAAGCTGATACTTTCGATGAACACAGTGAATTTGTTTTATTGCCAGGATGCTGTGCCTAATTCTGGTGTTTCTCCTGGTTCCCAATGTGTGTGAAGTAGATACCAGTTTATATACATTATTTACACAATGGGCTGCATGTGATTGGCTAATTCTGGAATTCTCCTGTAGGCCAATCAGGTTGTGGATTCACTTCTATCTGGAGCTGGATTGGGTGGCTCCTGCCGACCAATCATACTGCTGCATTGTTCTAGGACCAATCAGACTGCTGCATTCTGAATCCTATTGTTCTAGGACCAATCAGACTGCTGCATTTTGGATCCTATTGTTCTAGCACCAATCAGACTGCTGCAGTTTGGATCCTATTCAACTCAGTACATAACACCTCTAAACTAAGCTAAGCTGATACTTTTGATGAACACAGTGAATTTGTTTTATTGCCAGGATGCGGTGCCTAATTATGGTGTTTCTCCTGTCTCCCAATGAGTGTGGATACCAGTAATTGCCCCACAGATGATCCCATAACTGTTCCACATGAAACGGTGTCAACCAGGCGACTTCCTCACTGGTGTTATGGCTTCACACATAATTTATTATTTTGCTGAACTCTCCTTCACGGAACCCCCGTCTCAGGAATTATTTGAGATTCCAAAGTTAGATTTCCTCTCTTCTCTCTAAAACTAGTCTGGCTCATATCAAAGACCCTAGGAACAGTTTATAGAAGTAACACGATGCTCCAGGAAAGGGTGTGCAGATTGACTCAACCAAAGAGATTATGGGAATTGAAATCCAGCAAAATCTGGATGTTCAGCAGTTTCCTTTACATATTTGCATTACATATTTTATTTTCCTTCTGTACCTGTGTGAGATTCACAATGTAGGGAGATGAAACATGCCACACAAGATCTTTCTAGAACGTAGGTTAAGATAGTAATATTTCTGTACATAGGGGTAGGTAAAAAAAAATCAATGCAGCACAAATTTAAAGCCAAATCTATCAAACTCACACTTAAAATAATATGTGGTCCAAAATACAGTTCTGTTTTGAAATTAAAACTTATCTGAAATTTGCCATGCATTTTTTAAAACAATGTATTTGAAAATGGGTATATTTGAGGGATATGTTTCTTTTTGTAATCTGCCTTGAAGGTGTTGTGTTGTGTTTTTTTACAATCAAGCTGTGTATGAATTTAATGAAATAAATAGATACATAAATAATTGTAAAGATATGTGCGAAAAAATGTACATGGAGCAGATGGAAAAAACACACAATGCATTGCTTCATTATTTCTCTCTAAAAGCACTGTGATTTCAATGCCCTAGTAAAATCATTCTCTTTGGTGAGAAGCTAGAACTTTCCACTGTAGAACTCTTCCTTCCACCCTCTCACCACGAATGGGAATTTCAGTTTGATAAGCCAGAGGAGCAATGCTTCCATGTTTGCAGATACAATGTCTTCAAAGTTTTATTTAATATCCAGATCTCTGACTCCTTCCAAATTGTGCTGGAGGTTCATGATTTCATTCAGAGAGCTATAGAGGAAGTTTTCTTTGGCTTGGACAAGCTGCTTGATGAAGCAGACTGATTTGACTCCATTTTTACCCCAAAATGTGTCCTCCTAGTACAGACAGACTGAGTACACAAAGAAACAGAAACAAATGGCTTTATGCATTGGAAATTATATTTGGACTGAAGACTGCACTGCCTATTTGCTCCTGACATCAATTGCTAGGATATTTCCGTTCCACCTTAAAAGGGAGCAGGCTTTGTGAGTCAGAGTCTGCGTATTTCCTGTTCACAGGATGTTTATGTTTTCTGTTGCTTTCGTTTTCTCTCTGGTGTCGCAGACACTAAAGCAGTCAGTCATGTTTTTCTGTGTTCTGATCAACGCTGAATAAACTTGTAAATAATGCTCTCCTGATTGCAACTTTTGGCTGTGCTATCTGCTGATAAGAGTGTGCATGAGCTCTGGAATGTGGCAAGAAATCTTCGAGAAACTCATGTCGCTAATTGTTGATACTGCGTGACTACGGGAGGTCGATGGATCGTCCGGCAGACGGCTTGGTGGCCTCGATGGACTTTATCTCCCTGGCAGTATCCCAACATTTTTACCCCAAAATGTGTCCTCCTAGTACAGACAGACTGAGTACACAAAGAAACAGAAACAAATGGCTTTATGCATTGGAAATTATATTTGGACTGAAGACTGCACTGCCTATTTGCTCCTGACATCAATTGCATCATTCATAAAGATTCATAGGAATCTAAATTACTTGAGACAGAAATAGTCACCAGTTTAAGAAATTATCAGTCACAGAACTCTTCTTCTTCCCCACTCCCCTCATCATCCTGGAAATTTATTTGATAAGCCAGAGGAGCAGTGCTTTAATATTTATAGACACATTGTCTGCCCAGTTTTATTTTAATGTGCAGATTACTGGCTCCTTCTGAATTTCTCTGGAGATTCAGGATTTCATGTGGAGATGGGCTTCTCCTAGATGGGCTACCTTCCCAGGTTGGAAGGTAGAAAAAGAAATGAATTCATTGAATGCAGGGAACACACATTTTTTATAACAATAAATGTAATTTTGAATGCCTTCTGGATGAAAAAGTTGTGCATTGAAGGAAGAACTTGCAGCAGAAACAGAAAAAAGGAACGCTTCTCCTTTTTGTACAGATGACAGACTTGCTCTGTGTCACTGTGTTCCCTTGCGCAATAATACATGGCTGTGTCTGCAGCTGTCAGGGAATTCAGCTGGAGATGATATGCATTCTTGGATGAATCAAGAGAGATGGAAACCCTGCTCTGGAAGGCTGAACCATAATTTGTGTACCATCTTGAACTGCTGTAATATCCCCTTCCTATCCATTGCAGTCCTTTCCCTGGAGGCTGGCGGACCCAGTGCCAATAATAGCCAGCAGTGATGGTGTAACCAGAGACAGCACAGGTCAACTGGAGGGATTCTCCAGGTTTCCGAACTCCCTCACCAGATTGAGTCAGTTGAATTTCAGAGGGGGATCCTGGCAGAAGAAAATGGGGGAAAGGCATATTAAATTTTAACACATGCTGCAAGATTATAAAACAAAGAAATATCAATTATTATTCTTGTTATTGTTATTATTTTGTACTTTGCCCATCTGACTGGGTTACTCCAGCCACACTGGGTGGCTTCCAGCATATATAAAAACATAATAAAACATAATAAAGCTGTTGCATTTTTAACTTTTAAATAATGCTTAAGCCTTTTTCTGAACAAAGTGAAATATTTTTAATGACGCGATCCTATAATTTTGAAAATGGGACTGCACTTGTTCATGCTTCCCACTATTATAGAAAAGAATGAAAACATCTCAGGTAACCTAGTTCAGCAGTTGAAAATATAAAAGGAAAGAATGCTCATAAACGTTAAAAGAGTCTGCAGGGTGGCATTTTCCCTCTACAATCAAGTACAAATAATACAACTGACCAGGTTTAAGGATAGAAAAGACAAAGAGAAATGTGGCTAAGGGCACCATCGTCTCCATGATGCTCTCTAAAATTCAAGCAGGAGACTTGGTATTTAAATAAATCTGTAATAGATTGATAAATTTGCATATTCAAGAACATTTTTGCATTGGGTAATAAAAAGGACTGTGACCAATTCTAGTAGGATCCTAATCACATCCCTGCCCTTACTTTCCCCACAGGTGCCTGTTGTGCTTAAATGATGAAATACACATTCAGTGCAAAATGTAACACAAAGACTTCAATTTTTATTTCTAAATTTTGATTTCACTGAGACTGCTCAGCAGATATTGTGGGAAGTTCCATCAGCTCCTTTGGCATGAAACAAACTAGAAATAGCTTCTAGAATAATTTATTAAATTAATTAAGTTGGGACATTCTGACCTTTTGATCCAAGGCATAAAACTGTGGGGTGGTGGTGGTTGCACATACCAATATCATCAGCATTCAGGTCAGTTTTGTAAGTGGAGCTCTTGGGTAGTTTCACTCGACCTGTGTTTATTTATTTAAATTCTGATGTCTGTTAAATGAACTGTTAATTCTTGGATTTTTAAAATGTTATCGTGCATTAATCATGAGTAGTATTAAATTAAGCTTTAATCAGAGCAGACCGATTTAAATTAATTAACATAAGTTAGGTCCACTTATTTCAGTGGGGCTACTGTGACTAAAGGATGCGGGTGGCACTGTGGGTAAAACCTCAGTGCCTAGGACTTGCCGATCGTATGGTCGGCGGTTCGAATCCCCGCGGCGGGGTGAGCTCCCGTCGTTCGGTCCCAGCTGCTGCGCACCTAGCAGTTCGAAAGCACTCTTAAGTTCAAGTAGATAAATAGGGACCGCTTTATAGTGGGAAGGTAAACAGTGTTTCCGTGTGCTGCGCTGGTGCTGGCTCGCCAGCTGCAGCTTCGTCATGCTGGCCACGTGACCCGGAAGTGTCTTCGGACGGCGCCAGCTCATGGCCTCTAGAGCGAGATGAGCACGCAACCCCAGAGTCGGACACGACTGGCCCGTACGGGCAGGGATACCTTTACCTTTACTGTGACTAAAACTCAGCTGAATATTTATTATGCATCATTATTTCAAGACATATATCTATAAGCCTATAAATCTGTATTATTATTTATTATTTATTTTTTATTATTTATTAATTTATTATTTCTTTCTCTCTCATATATCTATATCTGAGCACAGCTGTATCTGTGGAAGATGTGGTATATAAATAAACAAATTGTGACTATGCAAAGGAAACGGATGAGAAAGCTGCCTCACAGCTGAAACCACAAGACAGTACAGTTGAATAAATATTTTATTTCTTGCGCTTTTCAGTATATCTCTCCTGCCCCCTTGAGTAAAGCTGGCACAGGGAGAAGCTTCTTGTCTTATACATGAAGTGATTGCTAGGGAAATTTAGAGCTCTGGATGATCACTAGAGTTCTTGGCTCGCTGGGATAGAGAAATCCACCTGTCCCTTTTGTCCCTACCCCAAAAGAACCCTGCCCCAGTCACTCCAGAGTATTCATACCTACTCATTATTTTTTTAAAGAAAAAGTGCAGATCCAAGCTTTTGATTTTCTAGTCCAGATAAAATCATAAAATCAAAGAAACATAGAATTGTAGAGTTGGGAGGAGCTACAGGGCTCATCTAGCCCATTCCCCTACAATGCAGGAGACTCAGCTAAAACATCCATGACAGATGGTCATCCAACCTCTGCTTAAAAACCTCCAAGGAAGGAGAGTCCACCACCTCCCAACACAGACTGTTCCACTGTTGAACAGCTCTTACTGTCAGAAAGATCTTGGAGATGTTTAGCCAGAATCTCCTTTCTTGTAACTTGAAGCCATTGGTTTGAGTCCTACCCTCCTGAGCAGGAGGGGCGGAAACATGACCCCTCTTCCATGTGACTGTTAGAATTCCTGCTCCATGATTGTAGAATAGAATAGAATAGAATAGAATAGAATAGAATAGAATAGAATCATAGAGTTGGAAGAGGCCACAAGGGCCATCGAGTCCAACCCCCTGCCAAGCAGGAAACACCATCAGAGCACTCCTGACATATGGTTGTCAAGCCTCTGCTTAAAGACCTCCAAAGAAGGAGACTCCACCACACTCCTTGGTAGCAAATTCCACTGTCGAACAGCTCTTACTGTCAGGAAGTTCTTCCTAATGTTTAGGTGGAATCTTCTTTCTTGTAGTTTGGATCCATTGCTCCGTGTCCGCTTCTCTGGAGCAGCAGAAAACAACCTTTCTCCCTCCTCTATGTGACATCCTTTTATATATTTGAACATGGCTATCATATCACCCCTTAACCTCCTCTTCTCCAGGCTAAACATGCCTAGCTCCCTTAGCCGTTCCTCATAAGGCATCGTTTCCAGGCCTTTGACCTTTTTGGTTGCCCTCCTCTGGACACGTTCCAGTTTGTCAGTGTCCTTCTTGAATTGTGGTGCCCAGAACTGGACACAGTACTCCAGGTGAGGTCTGACCAGAGCAGAATACAGTGGCACTATTACTTCCCTTGATCTAGATGCTATACTCCTATTGATGCAGCCCAGAATTGCATTGGCTTTTTAGCTGCCGCGTCACACTGTTGGCTCATGTCAAGTTTGTGGTCAACCAAGACTCCTAGATCCTTTTCACATGTACTGCTCTCAAGCCAGCTGTCACCCATCTTGTATTTGTGCCTCTCATTTTTTTGCCCAAGTGCAATACTTTACATTTCTCCCTGTTAAAATTCATCTTGTTTGTTTTGGCCCAGTTCTCTAATCTGTCAAGGTCGTTTTGAAGTGTGATCCTGTCCTCTGGGGTGTTAGCCACCCCTCCCAGTTTGGTGTCATCTGCAAATTTGATCAGGATGCCCTTGAGTCCATCATCCAAGTCGTTGATAAAGATGTTGAATAAGACCGGGCCCAAGACAGAACCCCCCACTAGTCACTCTTCTCCAGGATGAAGAGGAACCACTGATGAGCACCCTTTGGGTTCGGTCAGTCAGCCAGTTACAAATCCACTGAGTGGTAGCATAGTCAAGACCGCATTTTACCAGCTTCTTTACAAGAATAGCATGGGGCACCTTGTCAAATGCCTTGCTGAAATCAAGGTAGGCTACATCCACTGCGTTCCCTTCATCTACCAGGCTTGTAATTCTGTCAAAAAAACAAGATCAGGTTAGTCTGACATGACTTATTTTTCAGAAATCCATGCTGACTATTGGTGATCACAGCATTCCTTTCTAGGTGCTCACAGACTGTTTGCTTAATGATCTGCTCCAGAATCTTCCCTGGTATTGATGTCAGACTGACTGGGCGGTAATTATTTGGGTCCTCTCTTTTCCCCTTTTTGAAAATAGGGATAACATTTGCCCTCCTCCAGTCTGCAGGGACTTCGCCTGTTCTCCAGGAATTCTCAAAGATGACTGCCAGTGGTTCTGAGATCACATCTGCCAGTTCTTTTAATACTCTTGGATGCAGTTCATCTGGCCCTGGAGACTTGAATACATCTAAACTAGCCAAGTATTCTTGTACTATCTCCTTAGTTATTCTGGGCTGTGTTTCCTCTGCTGAATCATTTGCTCCAAATTCTTCAGGTCGGGCATTGTTTTCTTTATCGGAGAAGACTGAGGCAAAGAAGGCATTGAGGAGTTCAGCCCTTTCTGTGTCCCCTGTTTGCATTTCACCATCTTCTCCTCTGAGTGACCCCACTGTTTCTTTGTTCTTCCTTTTGCTACGAACATACCCATAAAAGCCTTTTTGTTGCTTTTAACCTCTCTAGCAAGCCTGAGTTCATTCTGTGCTTTAGCTTTTCTGACTTTGTGTCTACACGTGCTGGCTATTTGTTTGAATTCCTCTTTGGTGGTCTCCCCCATTTTCCATTTCTTGTCCCCATCCTTTTGTAATCTTAACTCAGTTAAAAGTTCTGTAGATAGCCACCCTGGCTTCTTTAGGCACCTTCCATGTTTCCGTCTCATTGGTATTGCCTGAAGTTGTGCTTTTACTATCTCCCTCTTAACAAACTCCCAGCCATCATGAACTCCCTTTCCTTTTAGTATTACTGTCCATGGGATCTCACGCAGCACTTCCCTAAGTTTTATGAAGTCGGCTTTCTTAAAGTCAAGAAATGGAGTCCTAGTATGCTTGGCTGCTCCTTTCCGCTGTATAGTAAACTTCAGAAGAGCATGATCACTCGCGCCTAATGATCCTTCCACTTCTACCCCACTAACCAGGTCATCAACATTGGTTAGGTTGATTGGTTGTAGTCATGGGTTTTTTTTCTTTCACATGAATGTGTATGTTTTGTCACCACAAAGTGGGAAGTGACAGAGACGGGATGTTTGTGTTACTGTGTTCCATGAAGTGGGACTATTGTCCTTTGTTCTTTTTCTCTTTGCTGTCTGATGCTAGAGAGAGAGGGAGCCAAGTTGCAGTGCTCCATGTGTGTTTATATGTAAATAAATTACATTAGCTAAAATGCTGAGTTGCTGAGGTCTGTTACGCAAGCTGCAAAGACTCTGTGGATCCCTAAGTGTGCTGATTTCTGGTGGCATCGGTCGCTGTGATATTTGGGCAGAATAAATTTTTTGAAGCTGCTGAACGATCAACCAGGAGGTAGAGAACATGCCAGTCTGGCATGTGTCTCTGCCAGGGTCCTACTTGAGAGTAGGACGAGCTCCTGACAGTCACAACACTAGAGATATTGGAAGATGGCTATCATATCTCCTTTCACTCTCCTTTTTTTCCAGGCTGAATAAACCCAGCTCCTTCAACCATTCCTCATAAGGCTTGGTTTCCAGACCCTTGATCATTTTGATAGCTCTCTTCTGCACGCATTCTAGCTTGTCAACATCCTTCTTTTTGTTTCAGATGTGGATAGCATGTGTATATGAAACATCTAAACAAAGTATATGTAAAAGTGAATTTAACAGAAACAATTGTTTGAATTCGGTGGTCAGGATCATGGAGGCAGTGAGGACTGTGTTTAGGGAACACAAATGGGCTTGGTATTCAGAAGCAACAGAAAGACCAGACTGAGTTAAATACTCCAAATAAGGGAAGGGAATCCCCCTTCCAAAATGACTTATATTGTAGAATTGATTTAGAGGTGAGGAATCAGATCAAGACAGAGAGCACCCGGGATACAATATATACCATCATATTTGCAGGACCATTTGAAGTAAAACCATATAGGGCAAAGGATCCAATAGACTTCAGTACCAAATACAAGAATGTTTGTTTGTTTATTTATTTATTTAATAAAAAAATAAAGAAATACATGGTTAGGTCAATGAGCAAGATACAAATCACACTGAACTCAAATTAAGATTGCCATAAGAGCCGCAGATCAATAATTCTTTTGTCATGAGTTATGAGCAATATCTATCTGGTGTTTGGTAATGGTTTCTACTCACAAGTGTATTTACCATACATAGCTAACTTCATTTTGCTTGAAGTAAATGTTCTGCATCAATAGGTTATAGTGTTCAGCAGAACAGGAAGGTGTTTTTTTTTGTTGTTGTTGTTATTTATGGGGAGGAAAAGTTACTGCCAAATGCATTAGGTTGAACTTTCACTCATTCTTTCTTAGAGACAATAGTACGGTTAGGTGCTTCCTCCCTTCCCTTCCATACCCCACCTTGTGACCTTGTAAAAACTTCGACAGCAGAGTAGCTGGACATACTGCAAAGCATATAAAGCATTAAAATGGTATGACTCCAGGATTCCACCATCTAAATTTGCTTTGAGAAACTTATATGTAAAACCAGGTTGAGTCAAAGCATTAAAATAAATGAAAACAGGTATGTCTCACTGAGTTATTTCTAGGCATACTGCTATGAAACAGTAATGATTGTTGTACCCAGGACCAGGGGTGTGCATTATTAGGTATCTGCTAAGGCACACACGTGTGTTGCAGCCCCATCATGTAGGTCTATCCCACACATGTGGCAAAGGTGAGGTGACTGCCTCAGGTGGCAGGATCCAAAGGGGACAGCAGATCAAGCCTCCAGCAATTGCATTGCCTGTTGCTGCTGCCACAGAGGCAATGACAGCTGTGGCTTGTTCCTTGTAGGATCTGTGACCTTCTCAGCAGCCTCCCTCCAAATCCAGCTCTACAGTGGACTCTTGGTGAATAGGAGGTAGCTCTGGTCTCCTACCACCCTTGTTCGTGATGTAGATCTTCACTCACTCCTTCTTCCCTGATTGGAGAAAAGTGAGCAGATAGAATGGTACAATTTACATCCTTGGAGCAACCCCTCGGGAGATTGTGTGGTTCTGTGAGAGAAAAGTGGTCTATAAAAGAGGAACAGGGACCTAATGAAGAAGCCATGCTCAAGATCCCACAAACCCTAGAGATGTGCAGGTTGACATTATTTGCAAGTGATGTAACAATTGCTGCATCTCAAGGCAGACCACGAAGACTGCTTTGGATTAAAGTAGCGTTCACTACACCCCTAGTCAGTTCTGTGCCTGGCTATTTTAATACTTTATAGCAATTGACCACCATCCTGTAGATCAAACTGAAGCTGAATATTGTGATTCATTTCAAGAATTAGTGCTGCTTTATTTTTCCAATTTGTCTAGACAAGGGCTGGCTAACCTCTGCCCTTTGGAGGTTATTGGACTCTGACTCCAAAATTAGGAAGAGAAAAGCCAGAACTTTTTCTTAAAACAAAAGAAAACATGTTTGCTTCCATAATTGTTACACAAGGTCTCTAAAGAAGGAATTCTTTCTCTACAATTATTTATGCCACACTGCATATATATATATATAAATATATACACACACAGAGAGAGAGAGAAATCTCCAGAGGCTTTTCAGATAATAGGAAAAACAATAACTTGGCAAGCCTGAAAGTGGATATTAGTAGGCTTCTGGTGGAGAAAAACCGGGAGTAGGGCACTGTCACTTTCATCTCTAACAAATC